AATATTCACAAGTGAACTAATTCTTTCTATTTGAGATATAATTTTGCCTTGGCTTTTATGACATACGGTTTCTTTCTCCTCTGAACACTCCTTTCCCATGTTCTTTGCATGTTGATTGTCCTTCACCAGGGTATTAAATGTAGCAGTTCTTCAAGCTAAAATGGGAATGTGGAATTAGTTTGTTTTCATATTGTTCATTTTTAATGAGAATAGATTAACTTGATGAAGGTGAGTTGTGAGAATGCAGTAAAGCAAAAATAATTGATGTTTTTAGCTTAGGCCAGCTCTCATTCAATCTTACAATGTCTTTTCTGAAAAGCTTCCAGAGAAGAAAAATCCATGGTCAAGAGCAAAATCATGACCTATGTAGAAGTCACCTACTGTAGTAAATATAAAAAATGATGTCAGCATGATCCAAGGAGGTAGGTAGGTAGGTAGTGCAAAAGATATTTCAACCCCACATGAACTTAAAGTGCAGAGCAAGCCAAAAAGTTTTGGGTTTATAAAAGCATTTGTGTGTGTACCTATAAAACATTGTGTGTGTGTGTATATACATACATATATACATATATATATTCTCACATGTTTTTAAGATAATATAAAAGTAGTTATCTCATTTTATTCTCATACTCAAAATAAGGGGAATTTAATTTTTTTACCTAAAAAATGATTATAGCAATTTTTTTTTATTAGCCAGGCCAGTATGGCTCAGTGGTTGAGCATCAACCCATGAACCATGTGGTCACTTGTTTGATTCCTGGTCAGGGCACATGCCCGGTTGTGGGCTCGATTCCCAGTAGGGGCCGTGTAGGAGGCAGTTAATCCATGTTTCTATCTCTACCCATCTCCCTTTCTCTCTGAAAAATCAATAAAAATACATCTTTTTTAAAAAAGAAAGAAAATATCACCTTACATGTTTTGTGACATATGGTCTAAAGAATGGATTACCTCTTCATCCCATACCATTGTCTCCACTGCCAAATATATTCACTGTACTTCGTCAGGTATAAAACTTGAACCTAAATTTTAAAATAACTAAAACCATTCTGTCCTGAATGTATGATTCATGTAAAACCAGTCAAATGGATCAGCTATATTTTAAACTTTTCTCTGCTTTCTCCCCCCCAGGTTTTGACACTATGGCAGGGAGGCATCAGAATCGCAGTTTTCCTCTTCCAGGAATTCTTTCCAGTGGTCAAGTATATACATTTGGAAATTGTACAGAGAGTGATGTTTTGGAGGAGGATGCTGAAGTATATGAGCTTCGATCCAGAGGAAAAGAGAAAATCCGAAGAAGTACATCAAGAGATAGACTAGATGACATTATAGTATTAACAAAAGATATACAGGAAGGAGATACTTTAAATGCAATAGCCCTCCAATACTGTTGTACGGTAAGTTTTGATTTTGCAATAGCAGTCCAAAATAAATTATTTGTTCATAACACAAATTGAAATAAATTCTGTGCCTTTTTATTTTGCTCCTCCTCCCCTTTTCTTCTTTCCATAGAAATCTGTATCCTGTTGGTGGACGTTAAGTTTTTAAGTGAATACTTGAATTTCTTGTTATTCCTAAATCCATGCTTCTATTTTCAGTACTGAATAACACCCAAATATGTTATCTTTTTCTCCTTATCCAAGTAGTAAGAGAATGTAAAATCATATAAGGAAGTTTTTCCTTGCCCCAGTTTCCTGAGATAGCACATTGTGTATCTTTTCATACCTTTTTTCTGCTTTAAAGAATACACATATATAAAATTCATGGGAGGTTGGTGGTTTTTGTGTTTTTAAAATTGGTTTATACCATGCCTGTTACTCTGCAAGTTGCTTTTGCCTTTTTCACTTCTTAGTTTATCATGGATAGTCCCTCATAGATCTCATTATTTCATATATATATAATTTTCCACAGAATGGATGTACCATAATTATTAAGCCATTCTCATACTCATGGGTAGTCAGGATTTTCACTGAGTTCTCTATTGTGCTGTGCATATCTTTACAACTATATCTTTAAATTGAGGTACTTTTATTTCTGTAGAATAGATTTCCAAAAGTGGGATTGATAAAGGAAAAGTATATTTATTATTTTATTGCTTTATTTTTTAAAATATATTTTATTGATTTTTTACAGAGGAAGGGAGAGGGTTAGAGAGTTGGAAACATCAATGAGAAACATGGATCAGCTGCCTCCTGCACACCCCCCACTGGGGATGTGCCCGCAACCAAAGTACATGCCCTTGACCGGAATTGAACCCAGGACCCATCAGTCCGCAGGCCAATGCTCTAACCCACTAAGCCAAACTGGTTAGGGCATATTTCTTATTTTAGTAGATACTAAACTGTTTAAACCCATTTTATATCTGTGTCATTTCAATCTTGCATCCTTAGCATGAAATCTATTTTCATGTAAACACACTGATAGGGAAACTGTTTAGAACATTGGTTTTCAAATTTTTTGTTCTCATACATCCAACAGAATTTTAAAATGTATGTACCTCGTACATTTTATTTTTAAATTCTTTATTGTTTAAAGTATTACATGTATCCTTCCCCCCCCCACAGACCTCTCCCCAGCCACGCCCATCCCCCAGTACCTTGTACATTTTAAAGTGAACTTAAATACTTGTAACTTAAAAATCCATGCTTCTATTTTCAGTACTGAATAACACCCAAATATGTTATCTTTTTCTCCTTATCCAAGTAGTAAGAGAATGTAAAATCATATAAGGAAGTTTTTCCTTGCCCCAGTTTCCTGAGATAGCACATTGTGTATCTTTTCATACCTTTTTTCTGCTTTAAAGAATACACATATATAAAATTCATGGGAGGTTGGTGGTTTTTGTGTTTTTAAAATTGGTTTATACCATGCCTGTTACTCTGCAAGTTGCTTTTGCCTTTTTCACTTCTTAGTTTATCATGGATAGTCCCTCATAGATCTCATTATTTCATATATATATAATTTTCCACAGAATGGATGTACCATAATTATTAAGCCATTCTCATACTCATGGGTAGTCAGGATTTTCACTGAGTTCTCTATTGTGCTGTGCATATCTTTACAACTATCTTTAAATTGAGGTACTTTTATTTCTGTAGAATAGATTTCCAAAAGTGGGATTGATAAAGGAAAAGTATATTTATTATT